AATGTATATGTAAAAAACAAAATGAACATTGATTTTCAGAAAAGTTTTGCCTTTTAAAAAATTCGTGTAGTATAAAGAATAATTATGATCAATACTCACTGGGTTCAATGATTAATCTGGTTCCACGTCCCAAACAACATCTTATATCCAGAGTTCACACAGCATGAAGCTCCATCACACAAACTCTGAACCTCCTCCTCTTAGACACATTTCATCTTGACATCGAACGATTTCATCACAGTCAGAAACGAAGCTGCTTTCTGAACATTTATATTATAATTAAAACATTAATCTTGATATTTTCTGTTTCACATTTAAACCGGTTTGTGTTCACGTCTGTTTCCTTCAGTCGGACTGAAAACACTTGAACTTACTGTCGTTAACGTGCAGTTTGACGCCGCGGCGCCAAACGTGATCCTGTTTTCCGTCCAGAGTCGTAGGTCCCACAGTGCGAGGCCTCAGCACACTAACACACTGATGCAGCTCTCGGCCTGCAGCAGTCATGATGAGGAGTCCAGAGACTCACCTCCATCACCAACTGTCACCAACAACCTCTGCATCAACACCACCGCAGAGGAGGCTCACTGACCTGAGCCAAACCAGAACCAGAGCCAGAACCAGAGCCAGAGCCAGAACCAGAACCAGAGCCAGAGCCAGAGCCAGAACCAGAGCCAGAGCCAGAGCCAGAGCCAGAGCCAGAACCAGTCCAGCACCAGTCACTTAACCAGAGAGCTGAACAACAACATCATCATCTCAAACAGCTGATTCTCCTCTCACACCTCACACTCTCATCCTCCATATAATTATATAATAATAAGTTTCTTACTGGCTTCAACAGTCAGTCGAGATCCAGCAGCAAAGATCATCCTCGTCCTCCGTCTGTCACACTGCAGCAAACACTTCGCAAACAAATGAAACCCTCGACCCTTGACCCTCCGACCCTCCGACCCTCCGACTCTCCGACCCTCCGACCCTCCGACCCTCCGACCCTCCGACCCTCCGACCCTCAGACCCTGCGACCCTCGGACCCTCGACCCTCGACCTTCCGACCCTCCGACTCTCCTGTGCTGAGGTATAAACCAGTTTAAAGTGAGTGAGGACTAGTTAACATGCAGACTAGTTAACAGTGGGGCTGGCTGGGTGTTGTTGCTGAAGTGTTTGCTGCAGTGTGACAGACGGAGGACAGAGGATGATCTTTGCTGCTGGATCTCGACTGACTGTTGAAGCCAGTAAGAAACTTATTATTATATAATTATAAGGAGGATGAGAGTGTGAGGTGTGAGAGGAGAGATCAGCTGTTTGAGATGATGATGTTGTTGTTCAGCTCTCTGGTTAAGTGACTGGTGCTGGACTGGTTCTGGCTCTGGCTCTGGCTCTGGCTCTGGCTCTGGTTCTGGCTCTGGCTCTGGCTCTGGTTCTGGTTCTGGCTCTGGCTCTGGTTCTGGCTCTGGTTCTGGTTCTGGCTCAGGTCAGTGAGCCTCCTCTGCGGTGGTGTTGATGCAGAGGTTGTTGGTGACAGTTGGTGATGGAGGTGAGTCTCTGGACTCCTCATGATGACTGCTGCAGGCCGAGAGCTGCATCAGTGTGTTAGTGTGCTGAGGCCTCGCACTGTGGGACCTACGACTCTGGAGGAAACAGGATCACGTTTGGCCGCGGCGCGTTAACGACAGTAAGTTCAAGTGTTTTCAGTCCGACTGAAGGAAACAGACGTGAACACAAACCGGTTTAAATGTGAAACAGAAAATATCAAGATTAATGTTTTAATTATAATATAAATGTTCAGAAAGCAGCTTCGTTTCTGACTGTGATGAAATCGTTCAGATTCAAAGATGAAATGTGTCTAAGAGGAGGAGGTTCAGAGTTTGTGTGATGGAGCTTCATGCTGTGTGAACTCTGGATATAAGATGTTGTTTGGACGTGGAACCAGATTAATCATTGAACCCAGTGAGTATTGATCATAAATATTCTTTATACTCAGAATTTTTAAAAGCAAAACTTTCTGAAAATCACATGTTCAGTTTGTTTTGTTACATATACATTTACAGGTTTAATCAGGTTTATTTAATCAGGTTCATTTAATCCTGTTTTAACCAAACAAAGCGGGAAAATAAATGTTGAGTTGTGATTCCTGGATCGTCTCAGTCTCGGTTGTTTCTGACTCCTGGTGGTTTGTAAAGCTGAGTGTGCTGCAGTGTTGTTGTTCAGCTCTCTGGTTGAGTGACTGATGGTGGACTGGTTCTGGTTCTGGTTGTGGGTCAGTCTGAGGTTGAGTCGGTGTGTTTGTGTGCTGAGGCCTCGCACTGTGGGACTTCTGGCTCTGGTGTTAACAGGATCATGTTTGGCCGCGGCGTCAAACTGCACGTTAACGACAGTGAGTTCAAGTGTTTTCAGTCTGATCAGCTTTAAACCGTGAACCAGACAAACACCAGTAATCATCATCATAATTCCTTCATTTATCAGCACTGAGACGCTCAGTATCTTCATCTGGATTATAATATAAATATATAATGTACAAACAGCAGCTTTGTGATTTGTCAGATTGTAAAAAATAATGCAGAAATATATATTTATATAGATATAAATATATACGTATATATATACATACATACATATATATTTCTATAGATATAAATATATACAAAGACAAAATCTGGAGTTTCATGAACTGGTTTGTCTCAGTAGTAAAAGAAGATGTTTGGGGAAAGGCTTCTGGCTGAGGGTCCTGAGTTTGTGTGAACTCTGGATATAAGACGCTGTTTGGACGTGGAACCAGATTAACCGTTGAACCCAGTGAGTACTGACACAGATACATATTTATTGATGAGTGTGCGCGCGCTCGGACGCGCCAACAGTCGATTTAACGCTTCATGTTTTTAATGCACGAGTCTGGAAATGAACATGTGTGAACGTGGACATCAAACCCAACACGCTGCTGAGCTCATGTTCGTTTAAGCCCAAAGAGAGAGAGAGAAGTTCTCCAGAGAAAACAACTGAAAGGTCAGAATCACGATAAATACATCAACTGAGAAATTATTACTCACGAGAATCGTCACTAAAATATTTTATTCAGTGTCGTTACTGCGCCATAAATATTTAGATGTTCACGGTTATTATGATATAAATATATAATGTCCAGAAAGAACCTTATGTTCACATTTAGATGTTACTGTTGTGAGTGCAGCTTCCTGCTGTGTGACCGCTGGAGTCAGTGCAAACTCTCCTTTGGACCCAGATTAACCATCGAACCCAGTAAGTGCTGATACACATCACGACCAAATATTATTCATATACATTCAATTATATATAATAATAATAAATCATGTAAAAATGTTGCAAAGAACAAACTTAGGAAACATTTTAAGTGCGTATTTAAATGGAGTTGTTGAAGTGCTGGAGTCAGCGGCAGCAGAGTTCTTGTCATGCAGCTTCAGGCTGTGTGAACACTGGGAATCAGAATAAGATGATCTTTGGACGTGGAACCAGATTAAATATCGAGCCCAGTAAGTATTGATATGAATTATAAATGTAATTAATATGAGGCGTCTTTAAAAACGTCTACCTGAAACAGACTGAAAAATAAAAACGCATGATCGTAATAATGAAACACATAAACCCAGAGATCAGAGTGTTGATCTAAATCATTGTCTTCAGTATTATTCTCTTGTATTATTACTACTGTAAAGAGAATGGCAGAATTTACATTTAATTTAAAACATTTAAAATAGACATTTCTTTTTAAATGAGAACAGAAGCTTATTTGTGCAACTCAAATATAAAAATTCAGCAAAAGTCTCAAATATAAAAATGACGTGTTTCTACATGAAGTCTGGTTCAGCTGGTCTCTGCTGAGTTTGTGTCATGGAGCTTCATGTTGTGTGAATACTGATGGAGGTGGATATAAGATGATCTTTGGGAGTGGAACCAGATTAACTATTGATCCCAGTAAGTCTGATACTGATCATAAATATAACTCACATCTTTCACAGGAAACGTTACAGTGTTTTACAGATATACATGGAACTAAAGGTTATTGGTTATTGTTGAATGAAATAATTCATGCAAAAGTCTAGAACCTAAAAATAATGAATATAAGAGAAGAACAACATTTGATTTAATATGTTGAAAATAGTTTTTTAAATGTTTTTTTTAAATCTGAATATTTAAGTGTAAAATTAGATTTCTGTTTTTAAAAGAGGTTTGGTTCAGTTGGTCACAGTTTGTGTCATGGAGCTTCATGCTGTGTGAATCAAAACAAGATGATCTTTGGGAGTGGAACCAGATTAACTATTGATCCCAGTAAGTGCTGATTTAGATTCATAATATTATTATAAAAGAGAAAATAATTTAGTTCAACACTGTTTAAGACAGAAAACCTCACAACTAAGAAAACAGTCTTTAACAAGTGAGAACACTGACTTCATTGTTCCAGTCCATATCAACCCTTAAATTATACTTATAATATAAAATGATGGTCTATTGATTATGAAGGAAAAATGACTGACGAACGTTCTTTAATGTAAAAACCGTGTTTTCTAATGAAGTCTGGTTCATGTCGGTGGCAGCAGAGTTTGTGTCATGGAGCTTCATGTTGTGTGAATTCTGGAGGTGGATATAAGATGATCTTTGGGAGTGGAACCAGATTAACTATTGAATCCCAGTAAGTCTGATCTATGATCATCAATTTGATATGTTAATATGAGGCTGGTAACAGCAGGTTTGGAGTTAGCTAAGGATTTAATGAGAGTTTTGACAGAATTAAAATCATAACTAAATATATCAACAGAGAGAGTATTAATCAAGAATCATCACCATCAATTCATCAATATCATCAAATATCAATCAATTCTATATACACTAATGTACAGTTAATCTTAAAATCTACTGTTTTATTATAGTTAAAATGTAAAAATAGTTTTTAAAATGAAGTCTGGTTCAGCTGCTCACAGTTTGTGTCATGGAGCTTCATGTTGTGTGAATTCTGTGGATAATAAGATGATCTTTGGGAGTGGAACCAGATTAACTATTGATCCCAGTAAAGTCTGATTATAGATTCTATAAATATTATTTATGTGAAGCATCTTTAAAAACAAACGTGTTGATGACATGAATCATAAAATGCATAAACACACATGTTGATCTGAACTTCTAAAGTCTGGATTTGTCAGTTTTCTAATGAAGTCTGGTTCAGCAGGTCTCTGCTGAGTTTGTGTCATGGAGCTTCATGTTGTGTGAAAACTGGAGGGAGAATGAAAAGCTCGTCTTTGGGAGTGGAACCAGATTAACTATTGATCCCAGTAAGTCTGATACACACTAGTTAAATATTACACATGAAGCCTCTTTTTCAAAACAAACGTGTTGATATTAATTTTGTGCTAAAACCAGTGCTGCACCAGTAACGGTACTGTATATGGTACAAGTGGCCTTTATTGCACATTGATTATTACTGAA